TGAAGCAACGTCCTCCACAACTAGACTGAAGAACAAAACGACAGTAATTTGTCTGTTCCCCTTCCCCCAATTCCCCAGCACTGTTCCCATCCCCCCAATTCCCCAATAAAAATCTAAAAAAAAAAGCACTTGGATTGGAAAGGAAGAAGTAAAACTACATTGGAGATGACATGATTTTTTTATATAGAAAATCCTAATGAATCCACAAAATAAGTATTAGAACTATAGTTCATCAAGGTTGTAGAGAACAAGATCAATATAAAATATCAACTATATTTCTATACACTAGACTCTGAAAATGAAATTACATAAACCGTTCCATGTACAACAGCATGAAAAAGAATAAAAACTTAGGAATAAATTTAACAAAATAAATGCAAAGCTTTTATACAGAAAACATTGTATAATGAATACTCTGTAGAAGGAATTAAAATAGACCTAAATAAATGTAAAGATATCCCATGTTCATGGATCAGAAGATTTAATATTGTTAAAATGGCAAGACTCCCAAAATTGATCTATCAAAATCCCTGACTTTTTCACAGAAATTAAAACTCATATAGAAATGCAAGGGACTCAGAATAAAACAATCTTGAAAAAGAACAAAACTGGTAGATTCACACTGTCTGATTTCAAAACTTACCACAAAGCTATAGTAATCAAGAGTGTGGTATTGGCATTAAGAATAGACACAAGGATCAACGGAATAGAATTCAGGGTCCAGAAATAAACCCATACATTAATGATCAATTGATTTTCTGCAAGATTACCAAAATAATTCAGTGGGGAACAGATAAGTCTTTTCAATAAATGGTGCTGGAACAACATGCAAACGAGTGAAGAGGACCCCTGCCACATGCCATATACAAAAAGTAACTCCAAAAGGATCACAGAACTATATGTAAGAGCTAAGATTACTTAACTCTTTAAAAAAAAATAGGAGTAAATGGTTTCTTAAACAAGACACCAAAAGAATAAATGACAAAATAAAAAATAAACAGGACACCATCAAATTAAAAATGTTTGTCCTTCAAGAACACCATCATGGAAGTAAAAAGACAACCCACAGAATGGGAGAATATATTTGTAAATCATTTATGTGATAAGGGACTTGTATCCAGAATATATAAAGACCTCTTATAACATAATAAAGACAACTCAATTTAAAAATGAGCAAAAGACTTGAATAGACATTTCTCCAAAGATGACATACAAATGGTTAAGTATATGAAAAGATGCTCAACATACTAATTGTCAGAGAAATATGAATCAAAACTATGATTATGTATTACCTCACATCCATTAGTATAGCTACTATCAAAAAAAAAAAAACAGAAAAAAAAAATAACAACTGTTGGCAAGGATATGGAAAAACTGGATACTTGATGCACTGTGGTTGGATTATAAAATGGTGCAACTGCTATGAAAAATAGTATAGAAGTTCCCCAAAAAAATTAAAAACAGAACTACCATATGATCCAGCAATCCCACTTCTGGATATATATCCAAAAGAAATGAAAGCAAAATCTCAAAGAGTTATTGGCACACCCATGTTCACAGCAGCACTATTCAAAATAACCAAGCAGTAGAAGCAATCCAAATGTCCCATCAACTGATGAATTTTTTTAAATGTGACGTATACACACAATGAAATATTATTCAGCCATAAAAAGGAAATCCTGTCACATATTATATGAACCTTGAGGGCAGTGGTAAATAAAATAAGCCAGCCACAAAGAAGACAAATATTATATGATTCCACTTATATGAAGTATTTAAAGTAGTCAAAGCAACAGAAAAGAAACAAAAAGTAGAATGGTAGATACCAGAATCTAGGGAGAGAGGAAAAAGGGGGAATTTGTTGTTTAATTGTTATAGTTTCAATTTTGCAACACGAAAAAGTTCTAGAGATCTGTTTCAAAAAACACTGAATACGTTGGGTTGTCGGAAGTCATGACGTATTTTTTCTATGTTTTTCGTTGCAAAAATGCGTCAAGACTTTTCTGACAACCCAATACTTAACACTTAAAAATGGTTAAGATGGTAAATTTGTTTCACTCATTTAAAAAATGGGCAAAGGATGTGAATAGACATTTCCCCAAAGAAGATATGTACATGGTCAATATGCACAAGAAATACTGCTCAACACTAGTCAGTAAGGAAATGTAAATCAAAATCACAATCAGACACTAACTTCACACCCACTATTGGCTATAACCAAAAAGAGGAACAATAACAAGTGTTGCAGAGGATGTGGAGAAATTGGAATCCTCATATATGGCTGGTGAAACTGCCATAAAATGGTACAGTCACCTTGGAAAACAGATGACAGTACCTCAATAATGATATAATTATGTATTATATATATAATTATATATATATATATATATACATGAGTTACCATATGATCCAGCAATTTCTCTCCTAGGTATATAGCAAAAAGAACTGAAGACATAAATCCACACAAAAAGTTGCACAACAATGTTCACAGAAGCATTAGTGCAATCCCAATGTCCATTAATTGATGAATAGATAAACTGTGGTATGGCCACACAATGGAATATTATTATTCAGCCATAAAAATGAATAAAGCACCACAGAACATGTATGACATGGATAAACCTTGTAAACACACTAAGTGAATAAAGTTAGACACAAAAGGTCACATAGTTTATGATTCCACTTTTATAAAATGTCTAGATTAGGTAAATCCATACGAACAGAAATAAACTAGTAGTTGCCATGAGATGGAAGAAAAAAAGGAATGGGGAGCCAAAGTAGGTTAAATAATGACCAAAATAACAGGTCCTAATTCCTGAAACATGTATATGTTACCTGATTTGGGAAAAGGGTATTTGCAGATGTGATTGAGTTAAGGATTTTGAGATGGGGAGATTATCCTGGATTACACAAATGGCCCCTAAATGCCATCACAAGTGTATTTCTAAAAGAGGTAGAGGGACATTTCATACATACACTAAGAGACAGCAATGAAAAGACTCAAGTGACATGGCCACATGCCAAAGAATGCTAGCCATGACCACAAGCAAGAGGAGGCAAGGTATGTATTCTCTGGGCAAAATGTAGCCAACACTTTGATTTAGGTCTAGTGATACTGATTTCAAATTTCTGGCCTCCAGACCTGAGGAGAAATAAACTTTCATTGTTTTAAGCCACCAATCTTGTGTTAATGTTATAGTAGTGACAGGAATGTTATAGTTAATGTTATAGTAGTTACTAATACAGGGAGTGACTGCTAATGGATACAGGGATTTAGGGTTGATGAAATGCTCTAGAATTAGATAATAGTGAAGGCTGTACAATTTTGTAAATATACGAAAACTCATTCAATTTTATACTCTAATGAATGAATTTTATGGTATGTGAATCATATCTCAAAGAAAAAAATGCTTAGCAATAGGCTGGTGGGACCCCCCATATCCCAACAACTGATACTAAATTTTCAAAGCTCCTGAGCAGACTTCATAATTTATAAATTTGTGGTGGGAGGCATACCTTCCCGGGGATAGAAGGGTTATCCATAAAAATGTAGACATTTCTGATACTAAGGACATGGAACACCAAATTAATTATACAGTCATTTGCCGCATAACAACATTTTGGTCAACACAGGTCACATATACAATGGTGGTCCCATGAGATTATAATGGAGCTAATAACTTCCTATTGCCTAGTAATATTAATACATAATTGTTGTAATGTCATAACGCAATGTATTTCACAAATGCTTACCATTGTGTTATAATTGCCTATAGTAACATGCTGTACAGGTTTGTAGCCTACAAGCTGTAGGGAAACAGAATCTGTTATTCCAAAATATGTCTACTTGGCATGAAGATTATCTTAGGCTGGTTCATTTTAAGAAACAGCAGACATGGGAGAAGCACTGAAAGTCAAGTAGAAGTTACCCTTTGTAAAAGACACTTACATTTGTAAGGGAAATCTCCACTTATAAGGGTGTCTCTCTCCCTGGCTATATCAGGAAGAGGGGGATGACCTTGTATCTAGAAATTCATCGATGCAGAAGACAAGGATTTAAACCTGCTTAACAGCCTTACCGTTGTTTACTGTGCTTTTCCTGGTAACCTCCCATAACTGACTTACCCCACTCTCAAGGTCTTCTTTTATCTTCAGCTGAAGATGGTATTTAAGGTGGTGTCTTCAGTAACTTCAGGCAAGTTAGTCAGTTTTCCTGGGTCTCTCCTATGTATACAGGGGGTATACATGTTATTAAACTTTTGCTTTTCTCCTGTTAATCTGTCTTTTATTACAGGATGTCTCAGCCAAGAACCCAGAAGAGTAGAGGTAAAATTATTTTTCCTCCCCTACAGAGCAATAGGCTATATCATACAGCCTCGATGTATAGTAGGCTATACCATCTAGGTTTGTATAAATGCCTTCTATGATGTTCGCACGACTAAAATTGACTAAGGACACATTGCTCAGAACACACCACCATCGTTAAGTGGCACATGACTGTAAGTAGACTTGCTAAATATTCTGGTTTGACCAGGACAATCTCAGTTTAACCTGCTGTCCTTGTGTATTTATTGATAGTGCCCTTTTCACTCTTAAAAATACCCCAGTTTGGGTGATAAATTAGTCAACAGAATTATAAAGAATCTGGAGTGGCGAGAGCATATTCTACACAGTACAGATGGGCTCTGTGATAAATCTGCATGACTAGTATCTTCCTGCTATTGGGAAGCTCCCAGGGGAAAAATCCTGGTAAGACTTCTTCAGATCATCCATATTTTGTTTTCAAATGTATACGCATATAATGCTAATGCTTAAGCTAACCTCTCGAAATTGTATTATTCAGTGTTATTCAAATGACTGGCTGATTAATTTACACATTTAAGGGACAAAATGAGGAATGGACCCAGGTATATAAGTAGTTTACAAGTATAAGGAGCTTACAAAGGATAGGGTTAAAATAGCTTGTGCTCACATTTATAAAGTGTGAAGAAGCCAAAAGATGAAAGTCACTACTACCATTTTTATTTAGCATATCAAATTGACCCTAAGTTAATATTCCCTTATAAGAACTCCTGGGTCTAAAAAGAAAAAAATGAAGGGAGAAGGAATTTTGTTTTGTTTTGTTTTTAAGACATTAGAGAGAAGCTTATCTATGGAAAGATCATCATTAGAGGTTCTGTGTGTGGTCATACATACAAGTTTGAAAATGTTTTGATGTCCACTATTTTGGGTGAACTACAACTATAAAGCATCGAATCAGTAGAATTAGAACATATCCCTGTCCATAAAAAGACGGAGAAACAGAGACATGACACAGGAATCAAATGATAAAGAGTTTGCATAGTTTTGATAATCTCCTAACCACAGAGAAAGGGGGACAGGGGAGCATTAGGATAGTGTGTGAGAGCAATCTGAGTGGAAGACCACTCACTCAAAAGTTTGGTGAGCCTACCACGTGCCAGGTTCTGGCCTAGGTACTGGGAATACATCAGTGATCCAAACAAAGACCCTTTCTTCAGGGAGCTGACATTCTAATAGCGGTAACTGGAAAATAATTATTTTAATATATATAATAAAATGTTATTATACATAATATTATAATACCTTAATGTATTTTGTTATATATAATATATATAATATATACATATACAGACATATTATATTGTGTATATAATTTCAAATGGTTATAAATGCTAGAGAGAAAATAAAGCCGGAAATGGGTGAGGTAGTATGGAGACAGGATTTTGTATGGAGTGGTTACGGATATCTGGGAAAGACTGCTCCATCAGAGGAAACAACAAATACAAAGGCTTTGAGACTAGAGCATGCTTAACAAATATAAAAATGGTCAACAGTCTAACATAGGCAAGCCAATCAAGAGACAAGTTGGAGATGACATCAAAAAATGAGCTCCTTGTAGTAAAGTAGAACTAAGATCAGGTAAGTTCATGTAGGCCATTCAAAGTTCTTTGGTTTTTACTCTAAGTGTGATGAGAGGTCACTGGGAAGAGTTTAAGTGAGCAGTGATATGATCTGACTTTCATTTTTCATTCAACAAAATTGCTCTGACTGCTGTGTGGAAGAATAGACTTTAGAGGGTAATACTGGAAGCAGAAGATAAGTTAAAGAGGCTACTGAAATAATAAAGACAAAAGATGACGTTAGTATCAGACAGGGTGGGAAGATAGAGGTACTAGGAATGGGGTCAGATTATAGAGCAATATCTTGAAGGTCCACAAGATTTGTCAATGGATTGGATGTGGGATATGAAGGAGAGGAGGCTGACATAACAAAGAGTGATGCTGAGCAGACAAAGATAGAGCTCAGGGAAAGGTCTGGGCAAGGTATACAAATTTTGGGGTCTTCAGCATGTAGTGCTTTTTAAAACACAAAACCAGATGAGATCACCTAGGGAAAGAGATCTGAGGTATAAGCCCTGAGGCATTCCATTGGTTAGAGATCATGGGGATGAGAAGGAACCAGAAAAGAATATGAAGAGTGAATAGTTACTCACAGCCATGGGGGTCATGAGGTGGGTAGAATCAAGCAGCATCCTGTAATCCAAATGAGGTGGAAACAAATGACTCTGACAAATGCTGCCAATAGATTGGCTAATAAAAACTAAAAATTGAGCATTGAATTAAGCATTATGGAATTAACTAGTAAGCTTGACAAGAATGGGTTTAGGGCCGGCCGAATGGCGCGATGGTTAAGAACTGGCTTGGGACGCCAGAGGACCCCGGTTCGGATCCCACATATGAGGGCCAGTGACACTGCCCTCCACAGCTAAGATGCTGAACAACAGCTCAACCTGGAACTGGGCTGCCGTGAGTCGCCGGCGACGGTGTAGGCTGCAGCCCCTGTGGCAGTGGGTTGCCATGGGCTACCATATGTAGTCAGCAGCCAGCGTGAGCGGCCAGCAGCCACAGTGAGCGGCCGTCCAGAAGCCGGCGACTGATCTGCCTCACCCGGGAAGAGCACAATGATGGTGCCAACTTGGGCCAGTGAAGCAACGTCCTCCACAACCAGACTGAAGAACAAAATGACAGCAACTTGTCTGTTCCCCTTCCCCCAATTCCCCAGCACTATTCCCATCCCCCCAATTCCCCAATAAAAATCTTTAAAAAAAAAAAAAAAGAATGGGTTTAAAGGAGAATGGCAGAATAGGGGTCAGCAAACATGAACTACTCGGAGAAATTTCCCTGTAATTACAAGCCAATATGAAATAAAATAGGCAGAAAGGAGATGTGCCATCAAAAGATGAATTTTAAATGATAGGTGACATTACAATCAGTCTGTTTGCCAATAGGAATGATCCAGAGAAACAGACAAGTTAATCCAGGACAAAGAGGAGGCTTACTGAAATAATATCCTTGAATAAATAAGAACTGCTTTGATCTAGTGCAGGGGTCGGCAAACTGCGGCCCACCAGCCACATGCGGCTCTTTGGGTACGTTCCATCTCAAAAGTTTGCCGACCCCTGGAAAATCCAATACTGTCCCTCACAACAATTTAAAAATTATTCAAGAGCCATAAATATATATTTACATAAACACCATTATATGAATAATATCCTTTAAAAAATTTATAAATGAAACTATGATAGTTTTGTTTTATTTTCATTTTAAATTTTACTTCAGAGGCTCACAAGCCTCAGTTTGCTGACCCCTGGTGGTTCTTCCATCTCAAAAGTTTGCTGACTCCTGATCTAGTACACAAGTAGAGGTTTTGGCCTTAGCCTGGAGCCAAACAATTCACTCATAGTAATAGGACAATGCCTGAGATCATATAAAGAAAGGTTGGAACAGTGGATAAATGGGTGTTAGCCAGCTTCCAAGATGGCCCCAAAATGAATCTTTTTTTTTTTTTAAGATTTTTATTGGGGATTGGGGGGATGGGAACAGTGCTGGGGAATTGGGGGGAGGGGAACAGACAAGTTGCTATCCTTTTATTCTTCAGTCTAGTTGTGGAGGACGTCGCTTCTCTGGCCCAAGTTGGCACCCTCATTGTGCTCTTCCTGGGCGAGGCAGATCACTCGCTGGCTTCTGGACGGCAGCTCACTGCGGCTGCTGGCCGCTCACGCTGGCTGCTGGCTACACACGGTAGCCCATGGCAACCCACTGCCACAGGGGCTGCAGAATACACCGTCGCCAGTGACTCACAGCAGCCCAGCTCCAGGTTGAGCTGTTGTTCAGCATCTTAGCTGTGGAGGGCAGTGTCACTGGCTCTCATATGTGGAATCCGAACCGGGGCCCTCTGGCATCCCAAGCCAGCTCTTAACCAACGCGCCACTCGGCCGGCCCCCCAAATGAATCTTACCTTCTGGTATTCACACTCCGGTGTAGCCCTCTCCCACACTATCGCAGGGTTGAGCTAAGTAAATGCAGCACACTTAACTTTTGAAAAAGAGTCTGCACTTCATCTTGGGTGCAAGCTCTCTCCTGAATCACTAGCTTGGGGGAAGCCAGCTGCCATGACATGAGCAGCCTCATGGAGAGGCCCAGAGTGAGGAAGTGAGGCCCTTTGCTAACAGTGAGCTTAGACAAAGATCATCTAACAAAAGTTGAGTCTGCAGATACACCCAAAAGCTTAACTACAGCTACATGAGAGACCCAGCTAAACCATTCTCAGATTCCAGACCTTCAGAAACTGTGAAATAATAAACATTTAAGTTATTAAGTTCTGAGATAATGTATTACACAGCAATAGATAAGTAACCATACAATGGGTCTCACTGAGCTATATACACAAGTTGCTGGATATACAATTTTCCTATAAACTTGCCTATGGGCATGAAATGAATTCAGATGGCCTCCCCTCCCTATTCAGCCACATTCAATTACAGAAATAAAGCCCTTATGGCAAAAGATATAGATATTAACAAACGAATCCCACGTAATCATTTTAGCCAATACACATTTACCCTGAACGAACCATATTAATACTTCATTAGCTGAAATCTTATGGTATGTATAGCAGCCCATTTTAGCCTCAGAACATGGTAAAAAAAAATCAGCTTTACGTATCTTAAAAATCTATGGTGTTCTTACTTTTTTTTTTCCTTGCAAGGGATCAGGTAAAAGAATGTCACCACAACCTGCCCCTTTTCTACAGAAGTAATTTAGACGGTTCCAAAATTATCTAATCAATGATTGGCCTGAATATATCATTCTGAGGCAGATCACACACATTGAAGAAATGGTGTCTAGGGCTGGCCGAGTGGCTCAGTTGGTTAACAGTTGGCTTCAGAGCGCAAACTCTGAGCAACGGGGCCGCCGGTTTGATTCCCACATGGGCCAGTGACGCTGCGCCCGAGCTGTTGCTGAGCTGCCAACAGGTGGCAGGATGGCTCAGCTGGTGTAATAACAAGATTGCCTGTTCAATGGTGGCTATGCCCACCTGTAACTAAGACTGAGCTTGGCACCTTGAGCTGAGCTGCCACCCGGATGGCTCAGTGGAGAGAGCGTGTGCTTTTAGCAACAAGGCTGCTGGTTTGACTCCCACATGGGATGGTGGCTATGCCCACCCGCAACTAAGACTGAACACAGCACCTTAAGTTTACAGGCCATGAGCTGCCGATGGGCAGCCAGATGGCGGCTGGCACCCTCCACAACGAAGACTGAAGAACAACAACTTGGCTGGTCCCCTTCCCCAATTCCCCAACACTGTTCCTCTCCCCCAATTCCCCAATAAAAACTTTAAAAACAAAAAAGGGTCACATACTGTATAATTCCATTTACATAACACTCTTGAAAAAAACAAAATTAAAGAGAGACAGAAAACAGATTAAAAAAAAAAAAAAGGTGTCTAAATAGTAGTGTGTTAGCACCGAAGAAAACAAGAGAAAAGCTGAAGGAAAAAAGATACAACTGTGGTCCTCATGACAGACTTCCCTCATCTTACCTCAGGTGTTCACTGAAACTTCTAAGAACTGGAGATATTCCAGGCAGAAGATCACATCCTTGAGGCAACCAGAGAATAGGATTAAGATTACTTACAGATTACAGAATATTTTCTATCCCATTTCCTACCTGATATTGCCATTGGGATGTTTTTCAAGCATCTCTCAACCGGAAAGAAGAACTGCATTCCTTTCCCCACACCTGTTTCTCCAATCTACCTATCTCAGTAAATTAAATATTCTATCTGCACTGCCCAAATCAAAAGCTTTGAAATCACCCTTGGTCCTGGCTCTCAGGAGTTTATTAGGGCGGGGGCGGGGGCTGCTTTAGAGTCCAGGCAGAGAGAGATACAGCAAACGACGAAAATAAACAAGGTGTTGCGGTAGGGGAGAGAGACCAATAAATGAACGCTTAAATGCTTTAAAGGTCTTAAACGGTCTGGGCCAACAGATTTTCAAGAATGGTGTCTGGCGTTACAAACTCGGTTTCAGATTTAGCTGGATTGGTCTCCACAAGAGACCCCCGCTGGGGCAGTGAAAAGCGAGGGCATCTAGAGGCAGGACAGGCGCCTTCTCCATACCTGGGGGGTGGGGTCGCCGCGCCAGGAGGGGGAGGGGAGGCTGCCTGAAAGCGGCGCCTGCTGAGATTAGGAGAGTAGTGTGTGTGAGGGGTCTCAGGACACACAGGAGCCGCTTACCTGCAGCGACACAGAGACCGGCTGCTAGGCCAGGTGCGGTGTCGTGACCCGCGAAACCGCAGCCGCAGAACCCTTTTCATCTCCCCTTGACTCCCCTCAGGGAACGCTTGGGCCGCGCCACGCCCCGACCTTACCGGTCCCTGTCCGCGGCGGTCCCGGCGCTGCCCGCCGCGCACCCGGCCTGAGGCGCAGCTTGAAACACACCCGGCGTGCCGCGCTCCCCGCGCGAAGCCTGAGGCGACGACGTCTCCTCAGGGTCCAGGCGCCGCCGACACCTCCGCACGCGCGCACGCTGCGTCCAGTGATTGGCTGCGAGGTGCGGGCGTGCTGGGCTCCCGGCGCTGCGATCTGATTGGCCGCGAGGACGGCTCAGGCGCCTGCGCGTGCTCTGGCACCCCGGGTGGCAACCGCCGAGGTAGGGGTCAGGCTGAGAGGGGAATGGGCTGAGCGATGACTGAGGCCTTGAAAGGGTCTTGAGTGGTCAAGGTTCCACGGAATGCCGGGATTCAGGGCCGCAGAGCCGGCTCCCAGTCCATCAGGGGATAAGCTTGCCCACCTGCCATCCAGCTCTCATAATCCTCAATGATGGTCCCTTTTCCATAAAAGCACTAAGCTGCCTGCCAGTATGTAAGGAACTACTTGACCATACAACTAACTTTTGCCGCCCATTCTCTTGAAGTTGCATCTGGGACTAATCCAATCTAGCCTGCCACCTGGTTTTGTACAGCTTGCAGCAAGCTAAGAGCTTTACATGTTTTAATGGCTGGAAAAAAACTGTTGGGTTGTCGGAAAAGTCATGACGTATTTTTCTGTTTTCGTTGCAAAAATGCTTCATGACTTTTCCAACAGCTCAATACAAAGAGATTACCTTTTGACATGAAAATTATATGGAATTCTAATTTTAATGTCTACAATTAAAGTTTTGAGACACAGTACATGCCCATTCCTATAGATATTGACTATGGCCCCTTTCCTATTGCAAAGTTGACGAATTGCCAGAGGTCACATTCACAATGCCTAAAATATTTACTATCTGGCCCCTTACAGAATTATTTTTAGTTGCTCAATTCTGCCAGAAGTCTTAGTGTTCTTTTGGGGGGGAAAAAAAAAGCTTTTGATTTTGTTAATCAATAATGCCATTTTCTATTTCATTAATTTAACTATTATTTCTATTATTTCTTCCTTATCGCTAGAGGTTCTGTTGCTCTTCTTTACAACTTTTTGAGATAAATGCCTAGCTCAAATGCTAATCTCTTCTAGAAACACCCTTACACACCCAAAACGTTTGACAAGCTATTTGGGCATCCCTTAGCCCAAACAAGTTGACACATAAAATGAACCATCACACAAACTGAGGCAGAGCTAAGATAATTAAAAACAACAATAAATGTGGCATTAGCACAAGAATAGAGAACTAAACAAATGGAGTGGATTGGAGTCCAGAATACATATACAGTTATCTACCCGATTTAGTTTCCACTGCAATACAGTAAGAGTGATTTTTAGTAAATACTGGTGGATTTGAATATGTGTATGAAAACCTTAACCTTGATACCATGATTTATCACACCATAAACAAAACAGTAAATTTGAGATGGATCATAGACCTAAATGTTAAAGGCTAAACAGTAAAGCTTCTAGAAGAAAACATAGGAGGAATATACTTATGTTTTTGGTAGATAATTTCTTAAATAAGACACCCCAAGAAGCACATATGAGCACCCATGAAACTACCATCCAGGTCAAGATTGAGGGCATTTTCAGTGCCCCATCAGTTCCCTTATACCCTTCCCAGTTGACAGCCTAGTTAAAAAAAAAAAAAAAAAAAGGAGGCAAGACTTGAGGGTAATATTCAAAAGGCTAATAGCCGTATGAAAAAATTATTCTCAAGATCATAACTCAAGGAAATGCAGATGAAAATAATGTGATACCACTAAAACCAAGAAAATGACACTAATGAAAAGGACTGAGTACCAAGTGTTGCATCTGTAGCAATGGAGTTCTCAGTATTGCTGGTGGAAATGTAAGTTGTTTCAGTCACTTTGAAAAAGAGTTTGGCAGTATCTGCACTAAGAAAGCCAAATCTTTACAATTCTAGAACTTCCTCTCTATCACATCCTAGAGAAATGACTACATATATCTGCCAAAAGACATGCACAACCTCATACAAACTTTATTCAAAATAGCAAAAGAGTCAACCTCAAAGCCCATCAACAGTAAAATGGATATATAAAACGGTACTGTATTCAAGGGAATTCTACCCAGCAAGAAAAAGAATGTGCTACTGTTACAGCAAGACTGCATTTCACTTATTTAAAGGAAAACAAAGACTATCTATTGTGCAATTCCATTTATTTAAAGTTGAAAAACAGGAACCACTCTAAGGTAGTAGAGGTCAGAAACATAGTTACTTTTGGGGACAGGGTTGACTGGGAAGGGGTATGAAGAAGACTTCTGAGCTACTTCTCCACAGTAGGGAGCTGAAGAATTGTCACTGTAAAACCTGACAGTTGTTGATATTGTTTGCTGGCATCTACAGCCATGATGTACAGAGGTCCTAACTTCAATTCTGTCTTTCAGATTTCCTGGAGGTGGGCAGAACAATTTTTAACAAGAACCGTAGCTTCAGTGATGTCTGGAATACTTAAGAGTTCATAGTCACCCTCCTTTTAGTTTTAAGAGGTGACAGTTGAGGATCAATGTTGTTCATAATAATGGATGCTACACCTCTGGATCCTGGTTGAACTGAAACTTGAATAACAACCTTTGTTTCAGGAGACCATCCTTCCAATTGCTCTGGCTTTTTAAATGTTTGATGATTCTTGGTTTGGTGCTCCATTTCCCCCTTAAAAGTCAAAAACTGTAGCCGGCACTTGGAACACTGGAAGACTCTTTTGTTCCAATGCCTCCAGCAATGATTCATATAGGATTTTGCAGTTTTGAAAATTTTGAGACAAAATGGACAAAGCAAATTCTTTGTGTTTTCATGGCATGTCCTGAAATGTGTTTCCACATCAGCAAAGGCAGACGATCTGTAATTGCAAACCTGGCACACATAGGGCATTTCCCCAGGCTTATGATTGTCCTTCATGTGCTGTAAGAGAACCTGCTCTGTTTCAAATGACAATTCACAAATTTTACAGACAGCAGAGGGCTCCTGGGACGTGTGTACACTTTCAATGTGACACTGCAGCAGAAATGGAGTGGGAAACTTCCGGTGGCAGTGTTGGCAGGTGGTGTGGATTTCCCAACTGTCACCCCTCTGTTTCTCCAGTTCCAAATGGTGCTTCACGTGGCTCATAAACTTGACATTTTTTAGAATTTTGAAGCAGCTGAGGCATTTAAAGACTGTGTGCGTCTTCTGTTCTGGCTGCCCATCTCCTTTATACTGTCCGTAGTAAAAGTCATGAAGTAACACAGCCAGATTTTCTTTTTTGGGATCAACAGATTTGTTTTGACTTGCTAGACACAGAAAGTCTGTTTTTTCCAGCCGTTCCAAACTATTTGCTCTGTCTGGATCCATAAGATTGAAATGTGCCTTGTCATTTGCATAAGACCAAGGAAATGATGTTCCATTCTGAACAGGGTTCAGTGAAGAAGGGACATCTTGTGAGGGGGTACTCGTGTTTACTATAGGAGAGACCCCTGAAGGGGCCACAGCTGAAGAATGTCCCCCTGGGATTCCATCACTAAGTTTAGGTCTTTTGGGATTTCCACTATTTGTATCCAAAGCAGAAAGTCGCTTTAAATCACGAGGACTTTTATCCTTGCCTCCTACAGAAAGCACAGTTCCAAGTAGACCCTTAGACCATGGAGAGAGCAAATCTGAAGAACTGTCAGGCACAACTTGTGATGAGCTTGTTTTATAATCAGCTTTAGATGAAGGCTCAAAAATAATAGGACTAGCTCTTGCTCCCCTTTCAGATTGAGAAGCTGGGAAGATGGCCACTGCTTTTGATGTAGGGGTCATGTAATTTGCAGGTTGTAATGTGCAAGCAGGATCTTGACTCAAGCAGCTTTTCTTTTTTTTTGAATATGAATCTGGGGCCACTCTATTCAAAATGTTTGAAATGACTGGTTTTGATTTGGAAATCACTCTGACAAAGAGAATATCATCATCTTCATTTACATGGTCTTCTACTCCAACAAAGATCAGCTCAGTATCAGCATCCTTGTCACTGTGTTTGGATTCTCCCATGTTCCTCGGTGGTTCTGGCCCTTGTTCTTCCTCACACGACCAGAAGAGATCTGCCATCTGAGCCAAAGAGGTCCCTTCAACTTCTAGTGCTTTCTTTTTATAAATTGCCACCTAAGTGCAACCATATCATTAGTCAGTATTTATCTCAAAAGATAAAAATCATTGCCTTATTTAATCCACCCCCCCCACCCCAAACACTGAGATAATTATTAACATCCTTATTTTACATGGAAGGAAACAGACTCAAAGCATTTGATAACCCCAGATTTACCTCTCCAGCCACTCCCCACCCCACCCCCTGCAGTCTTCTGCAATTGCAAACTGCTTCAACTTGTCCTCCTGCAGGGCCATGAACAGAGTGAGGCAAGTGAGGCATTAGAGCACAAGATTTAAGGGCAAGACTTAAGGAGGTGAACGTTCAACATCTCCTTCATTTTTGCACCCTGGGCATCTCATTAGCGTCCTCCTACTCACAGATGTACCCTCAGGGATATCTTTCTAACCAATCTTAACAAAACCAAGCTCTAGATAGTCCCCTAAAAAAACCTGCTTATCCTGCAGTGTTCCCTTTCTCAGTAAACCCTTCAAGTTGCTCAGTTCACAAACTCTAGAGACATCTTTTGCCAGTCTTTCCCTCACGCCCTAAAGCCAGTCAATTAGCAAAATGTTCCCTAAAAGTATCCAGAACCTGATCATTCTCTTCTACATCCACTGCCAGCTCCTTAACTGCAGGCACCATGGTCTTTTCCTGTATCATTGGAATGCAGAAGTTTCCAGCCTTATACAGCTTTTGCCGTATGTCCCCATGGCTGCTACAATGCTCCCATTAAAATACGTAGGAGAGCTAGTATGCACTCTTCTGCTTATAGATCTCCAATGGCTTCCCATCTCACTCAGAAAAGAAATGCAAATGAACGTAAAATGTCCAAAAGAAGTCTAGGCCATCTGCATGTGCTCACTGGTTCTCATCTGTTCTGACCCTCTGTCCCTCTGCCACCCTGATCTCCATGAGTCTGGGAGGCACCAGACCCTGTATTTTCTCAGGACTTTTGTTGCTCCTTCTGCCATAGATGCTCTTTTCTCAGATTCCCCCATCCCAACTCTTGGCCTTCTTCAGGTCCACAGCTTCTCAGCAAGGCTTCCCTGACCATGCTATTGAAATCACAACCTCCCAACTCACATGCCCTATTCTCCCCAAACACTATTTTTTCAGCTCAGCATTTAACCCTGGCCTAACACACAATACAGAAAAAATATCTTGCTTTATTTCTCTCTCCAGCCACTAGACTGTAAGCTCCATGAGGGCAGGGGCTTGTGTTTTTTTACTGCTGTATCTTCACCTTCTACAGCAATGTTAAGAAACAAATGAGGGCCGGCCGAGTGGCACGATGGTTAAGAACTCGCTTGGGATACCAGAGGGCCCCGGTTCGGATCCCACATATGAGGGCCAGTGACACTGCCCTCCACAGCTAAGATGCTGAAC